CAGTTGTTTTTCTTTTGAGACAGCCTTGCCAAGTTGCTGAGGGCGTAAGTTGCTGAGGCTGGCTTCGAATCCACAAGCCTCCTGCCTCAGCCTCCGAGTGAGGTACAGGCGAGTGCCACTGTGCCTGGCCATCGTGGTGACAATTAACACATAAATTCCACCACCTTTACCATTTGTAAGCTCACGTTTCAGTGGCGCTAGGTTGATCCTCTTTATTATGCACCAATCTCCAGTTTTCACCTTGTACAAACCAGAATTGTCTTCATGAAGGATCTCCCGTCCCCGCAGCCTCTGGGAGACGTGTTCTGGATTCTGGTCTAGGGGGCTGCAGCAGGCCCCTCATGTGGGTGGAGTCGTGGGGGTGGGGGGTCTCCTTTTCATGTCTGATGCATTTCCCTTGGTCCAGTGTCCTCAAGGGCCATCCTGTTGTGGCACGCGTCACAATTCCCTTCCTCTTTACAGTTGAGTGACGTTCTTTTCCCTTCATCTGCCCGGGGACCCTGGGGTGGCCTCCTTTTCTGGGCCATCCTGAGTGGCGCTCCCGTGAGCGTGGGTGTGCAGCAGCTCGTCCTAACCCTCTCCTGGGAAGTGCCTTTGGTCTGTGCCCAGGGGGAGCTGCTGGATGACGTGCAAGTCCTGAACGCGCTCTGCGATGCTCTCCCCAGCAGCAGCACCGCCTTGCACTCCCTCTGAGGCAGAGGGCTCCTGTCCTGAACACCTTGCCAGCGCCCGGTAGCTGGTGTGTTCTGACCGTAGCCTCCTGATGGGCGTGAGGAGGTAGCTCATGCTGATTTGAGTTTGCTCTTTTCTGACGATTAGTGTTGAGCCAGTTTTTTGGCCACTTTTGTGTCTTCTTTGGAGAAATTTCTATTCAAATCCTTTGGCCATTTTAAAAATCAGGTTGCCTTCTTGTAAGTTCTAGGAATTCTTTGCATCTTGTCAGGTATAGGATTGTTACTTATTTCCCCCATTCTGTGTTGCTTTGTGCTGTTCCTAGTGCTTTTGGAAGTACGAAGGTCTTGAATTGTGTGTAGTCCAATCTACTTTCCCTTTTGTTGCCTCTGTTTTGACATCTAAGAAATCATTGCCAAATCTGAAACATCTGAAGATCCGCCCTGTTCTCTTCTAAGAGTTCTGTAGTTTGGGTTTCTGTTTAGGGCTCTTTTCCCTTAGCTTTGGCCTAGGATGCGAGGCGAGGGTCCCACCTCATTCTTTTGCATATGCTTTCTGGTTCTCTGAGCACAGTTTTGTTGGAAAGACTGTCTTTTCCCTGTTGAAGGTGGTGGCACCTTGTTAAAAATGATTTCCATTTGCATACGAGCTCATTGTCATGAGTGCCTGGGTGGGGGTTGTCTCCGGTCTCCTACCCCATTTCCTGTGCACTTGCCTTAGGTCAGCGCCACCCAGTGTGACTCCTGTGGCTTTGGAACAGGTTTAGAAGCCCTGTTTCCTGCTCTGGGTGACCTGAAGGCCATTCTGAACACCGAGGACAGGTCCTGGGCTCAGGGCCATCTCCCTGCTCTGGCTGGGCCTTGGGCAAGTCAAGGTCAGCCCCGCCCTAGGTCTCTAGCCCTGACCACCTTTTCGAATCCCTTTTGTGAGGTGAGGGGACTTATTGGCAGGGTCTGGGGCTTCCTTGTTCTGTACACCTCCAGGGGCAACCCCTGGGGCTCCCAGCTCAGCCCTGGCTCTTCCCTGAAGTCCTGCCGTTTCTTCTGCTGCAATGGTGTAGTTTTGTTCCTAAGAAATCATAGATTTTAAAAAATACTCAACGATTTTTTTCCATGGATAACACATGACAGGGAGCAGAAGCTGGTAATGACATTGTTGATTTTCTACAAAACCTCACTAATTAGGGTACTTTGTAACTCTAAGTGTACTTTTCCATTGTTGGCTAAACAATGTGTTCTGATTCATCGACTTTAATTCTGTGGACTAATGTTTGTGAGGGTAAGCCCACGCCACGGGAGGACGCTCAGGTGGCACCTGCAGAGGCCAGCAGGAAGCAGCTTCCGGTCAGCCGCTGGCCGCATCTCCTCAGCAGTCTGTCTGGGCTGTGCCTGCCATAAGCCCTGCGTTTCGAATGCAGAGCACTAGGAAGCTACCTCCGCAGAGCCAGCCGCAGCCCGCAGCGGCCAGCACCTGCTGCCTCCACCAGGCTGGTGCGCAGAGCCCCACCCTGGGAGAAAGCATGTCACGCCTTGGGTGTTCCTGATGCGGCCCTGGGCAGGTCCCTTTGTACTAGATACTAGAGAGCCGTATCAAGAGCGAGAGCTCAAGAGCCAGACAGGGCCATGGTCAGCTGCCTGTGCTGGTGGAACCCAGCCCGGTGCCCACCTGGGCCCACCTGGGCCCGTTTCACTGTCAGAACCCTGCCCGACCCTGTGCATCAGGAGCCAGCAGTTCTTGGAAGGAGGTCTACTGAGGCAGAATGCTCAGAACCAACCATTATAGCATTTCGCTCTAAATTAATTTGCAAAATACTAATTCTGAGGTTTTCCAAGAAAAAGGGCCTTATGAATGGGTGACAGGATGACACAGTGAGACGCAGAGCCGTTGCCCGGGACTGGTCGCCCTCAGGGGCCGAGCTCTGATGCTCTGGATGGAGGCTCGGCACAGGAGCCTGGCTGCTCCTGGACTCTCACTGCCCGCTGGCTGCGGCAATCTGGCCAGGTGAGAAGCCTGAGTGAGGACTCGCTGGGGCCCATCTTCCAAGCCCCACGAGGCCACGCAGAGACGGGCGCTGGCCACCATCCCTGCAGGGGGCCGGCTGACCCAGGGTGGAGGACCTCTCTGCCCCTCCCTCCTTCCCTACAGAGCCCGCCCCTGTCCTGTGCTCCTGGGCACCCTCTCCTGTGAAGTCCTGTCCAAGGCCTCTGCCGTCCTCCCTCGGGCTGTCCTGCTTCTCCTGATGGTTTGTAGGGTTCTCCGTATGTTCTGACGGCAGCTCTCTGAGCCATCTGTTCTGCAGGGGGCGCCTCTGGCCCTGATGCCTCCTTCCCACCCTCACGGCCGCGCATTGACAGTTCTTGATAGAGCCAGCCGCCAGAGCTCTCCTCTGTAGTCAGAGCTTCCTGTCCGGCTCAGGAGGCCAGCTGTTTCCCAGCTTGTGTCCACCTGTGTTTTCTTGTGGCTTTAACTTCCACATTTTTATCTGAAACATGTTGGAAAGTGACTTCTGTGTGTCGTTTCTCCTTGTTGGCTCAGCACCATTTGGTAACAGGACCGACCCCCCACCTCGGCCCCCTGACCCTGCGAACCCAAGAGTTGCTTATCACAGTTCAGGGACCATCTGCTAGCCTGTCCGCTTGGCCACTATCTGCCCTGTCCCATGTGCCCGTGGGGCCTCGTCCCTCAGCTCTAGGCTCACTTCCGGGCTTCGTGTCCTCTGCCTTTCACACACAGGGGTGGGCCGCTGGGTTCAGCCAGCCCTCCCGCCCAGGTTCACCCAGCCCTCCAACTTGGGTTCAGCCAGCCCTCCCGCTCGGGTTCAGCGAGCCCTCCCGCCTGGGTTCGTGGCTCTGGAGCTGATGGTAACCTCTTGAGGGGGCTCAGGTGACATGTGACGCTTTACCAAAGCTGAGGCCACAGGGCAGAGAGCTACGTGTCCCAGGCAGATACAGGGCTGCTGGACCTGTAGTTAGAGGTGGAGAGAGAAGAGAGCCCCCCACCATCTGCCTGCCCACCTGCTCACCTGCCTGTCTCATGTCCGTCCCTCCATCTATCACCTACTTGTTCAGGTGGCCTGATCTGTTCATCTTAGCCAGAGGTGTGGCTCTTGCAGCTTCCAACAGATTAGGCCTGCATTCTTCTGGGTCATCATGGCCTTGGCCTTGAGTCTGGGCTGTGGGCTCTTGAGCTAGGGTCCCATCCTCAGCCAAGATGTCCTTCATATCCTGAGCTGATGGGTGGCCCTGGGTCACAGTCAATGCCAGCACATGCAGAAGCACACCCATGCACCCTGTGTTGACCCTGTGTCCAGCTCTGTTATTGTGAAGCCATTTGTACCACCCCTGGAGAGCATTTCAAATGCCCAGTGTCCCTTCTGTAAAGCCATGGCTATGCCCATTCTTACATCTCGGAAGGGACCACTGGGTATTCACTTTTAGTTGGAAAGCGAAACACACTTTCTGTCCTCCCCCAGATTCAAGTCCTGAAGCCTGCAGTGTGCGCTGTCTCCCTGGGGAAGGTCCATGTTTAAAAAATGTTCTAAACTGGGGTAAAAGCCACGTGGCGCAAGGCCCGCCATCCAGAGCACGGTGGAGCACGCAGCTCCGGGCGGACGCTCCTCCCCACTCTGAGCATCAGATCTCAGACCTTCTCCTCCCCCACCCGGTCTCTGCCCCGGGAGGCGAGGCTCCTTGCTTTCTCCCTGGCCCCACTGTGTCCACTCTGCCTGCTGTGTCACTGGCCAGACACCATGTAAGTGGACTGCTTTGGGTGGTCCTCTCGTGATTGGCTCTACTCACGGGTGTCATGTGCTTGAGGCTCATCCCTGTCACACGACGAGTCCCTTCCTCTGAGAGGCAGGTTTCCCTCCCACCCATGGACCATGTTCTCAGCTCTCCACCGGTGGGCAGGAGGCTGTTGCCCTTGGCTGTGTCGGTAACGTGCTCTGAACAATGTGCCCGTCCCCTTCGGGACCCTGCTGTCAATCATCTTGGAAGTTTCCTGGGCAAAGTTCTGGGGTCCTGAGAGGGGGCTGGAGCCGCGGCCTTCCACTCGACCACCTAAGAGGGCCTGGTTTGCCCACCTCTGCCATCTCTGCCCCACACCAGTACAAAATTCTGGGTCTGAACTTGGGTGTCCAGGTTCCTCCTCCTAAAGCTGGAGAGAGAACGACGCTGAGTGCTGATTATGCCTTGGGTATGGAGCCCACTGCGGACACGACGGGAGGGAGGGGCGGGTGCCCTGGGTCTGGGCCCAGCCTGCCCAGCCTGCTGAGCCCCGGCTCCACGTGGGCATCTGGCTACACTCACTCAGGTGTGCTTTCCCTCCAGGTGAGGAGACAATGTAGTGGAGTGGCCACCGAGGAGTCACCTTTGGGAGCGTGGACACCCGGCCCAGACGGAGCACCCGCCCCTGGGCGTCCCTCTGGCTACCCAGCCTCACCATGTCCAAGAAGGGCGCGGGCAGCCGGGCCAAGGGGGACAAGGCGGAGGCGTTCGCTGCACTGCAGGCCGCCAACGAGGAGCTCCGCGCCAAGCTCACCGACATCCAGATCGAGCTGCAGCAGGAGAAGAGCAAGGTGGGCCCCCAGCCAGCCCCTCCCTCCCCTCCGCCTGCCCCAGAGCCCCGAGGCTAGCCTGGGGGGCCAGTCGGGTCTCTGCAGGGGTGCCCTCCCACAGGCCCCCAGAGGTTCCCAAGGGGACTCAGGACAGACAGGTCTCCGGAGGGGAAGTGGCCAGAGGGTTCTGTGGGCAGAGGCACCACGGAGATGGCCCCACCGAGGGGAGGATGCCCACCTGGTGGACAGCCTCCCACATGGGGCATCCCTGGAAGTGACGCCGACTCTCCACCGAGCTCCAGGTGGACTTGAGTTCCACAGACTGGGCTGAGGTGGCCCCTCTGTGAGGACAGGGAGGAAGGGGACCTCGGCTTGGTGGGGAGGAGCAGCACTTGTGGCCACACTTGGAGGAGCTGAACAGGCTGAGCAGGGGTGTGGAGCCCCGCAGACCCTGGGTGGGCAGCCACGCAACCTCTAGTCTGCACATCCAGGCTCCGAGGTCCTCGGAACCTACAGGGAAGGTTTAGAGAGGGACTGAGCTTGTGCTGGAGGCTGGGGGTGGCCTCTGGGGGAGAGCGTGAGGGGCCTGCTCAGTGCCAGGCCCCTGGCCCCAACCTCCTTCCATCTCTGGCATGACCTTTGCCCTCTCCTGCCTGCACCTCCCCTCAGGAGCCAGTAGGAAGGGCAGGTGAGTTCCTGGGAAGGAGAAAGCAGAAAAATGATCTGGAGAGAAAAGGTGACCTCAGACTGAGTGGACAGCTCAGGGCAGGGTGACTCCCGGAGGTCGGCAGGCCCTGGACTTCGGGGCTGGCGTCCTGCCCCAGGTTGTAATTCCCTGTCCCTTTCTTCCTGCTGGCAAAAGTATTGCTCTTGGAGGACATGTGGTCACTGTGCAGGTCATTCTGTCACCCGGCCTCCTCTTACCGTCCTCCTGGCAGCAGCAAAACTTGAGTCCTGATCCCTGATGACGATGTGGAATTTGGACCCAGTGTTCACAAGGGAAGTCCTGAGGGGACCTGGCCTTCTCTGGTCTGGGGCAGACCCCACAAGCCTGCCACATTGCCAGCTGGCCCCTCACTGGGACGCTTGCCAGCCTGGTCCTAGTCCCCAGCCCTCCTGCCATCAGCTCCCCCTGCAAAATAGGACAGGAGCAGCTCCCAGCACGGGCAGTGCTGAGGAGGAAGGGAGGGAGGCTGGGCCGGGGCTGCTGCCTACACCAGAAGGGGTGGCACGGTGAGCCAGTGGTGTGCCTGCTCCCATGGCCTTGGGGCCACTGTCCCTCAGCAAATGCTGCCCACACCTGACCTGTCCCGGTGTGTCTTTTCCAGAGCCCTGTTCCTCCTCCAGCCACAGTCCCTTCTGCAGGAGATCTCCGGGGCTGAGTTGGCCTGGGGACTCTCCTGAGGAGCTGCAGCTTCCTGTTGCAGTTAGAAACGAGGCTGCAGGAAGCATCCACAGATCTGCCCTGGTCTCACCTCACTTGAAACTGGCCCTGCCCACTCACCTCTAAATATGGCCGAGTCTTGGTCTGTAGAATATTTGCTTAAGACCTGAGAGGGATAGAAGATGTGGATTTGGCAGGGTGGGATGGTGCACACCTGTAGCCCCAGCTACTCGGAGGCTGAGGAAGGAGGAGCGCGAGTTTGAGGCCAGCAACTGAACTTAGTGGGGGCCTGTCTCAAGGTACAAAAGGAAAGGTCCAGGGATGTAGCTCCGAGGTAAAGCACGCTGGTTCAGTCCCTCGTACCGCAAAGCCCCAAACAGAGCAAAAGGCCAGGACTCCTCTCCAGGTGCTGGCCTCACGGGACCAGCTCCAGGAAGACACCCACCTGCTGAGAGGGAGGCAGCTGGACAGGGCTCAGGGCAGTCTCCCTGGGAACCCTGCGCGGCAGGCTCAGCTGTCTTAAAGCAGCCAGGGGCAGCTGCTCCAAAGCAGAAGAGACAGAGGACGCTGGGCGTCAGGCACCCACTCCCAGCCCTGACAGGCCCCTGCGGCCTGCCTTCCTGGGGCCCTGGCCGCTGCCCTGCCCAGCACCACCCTGCAGCAGGATGTGCCCTGGCTAAGGGACACTTCTGAGACTGGACCAGGTACCCGTTGGGAGCAGACCTGCGTGTTAGGAAGCCCGTGGAGGCCGTGTGAGGGGTGGAGAGTGCTGTGCTGCCCTGCAGGCCTGCCCAGGGCGGCTCCTCCTGAGCACCCACCCAGGAATGCTGGCCGAACGCTGGTGTGGGGGCTGATGGTCCTGTGGGGGTGACTCGGGAACCAGACAAGGGGAAGTCAGAGTCAGCAGGCACCCTGCACCACACTGAGGTCCCGAAGACCGGCCCTGAGCTGAGACCCTGAGTACGAGCCGGGACGGAGTCTCCAGGTGGGGTTGGTGTGGGGTGGAAGGCAGGAGGCAGCCAGGAGGCCAGGCTGGAGCAGCCTCAGAGGCAGGTGGTGGAGAGGCCAGCAGCGCTGGGCAGGTGGGCGAGGGAGTCACAATCATCGCCTGGAGCCGGACGCCTGGGAGAGGGAAGGTTACTAGTGACACCATTCTGGGACAAGGAAAGCCATCATCCCCTAGAGAGAGACTGCTGGTCCCGTGTGGGCAGGGGGCTTGGGCGTGCGCCAGGCACAAGCAGCTTCCAAAGGCTGTGGACACTGGATGGGCTCTGACTCGCTTCCACATATCACAAACAAAAGAGTGTTGTTGGCAGATGAAGACACGGTCCTCCTGTGGTATCTGAGGGAGTGGCTCCAGGACCCCTTGAGTACCCAGAGCCGCAGGGTCCCGTCCCTCCCGTCAGATGGCGCAGTATCTTCCCGGGGCCTGTGCACAGCCTCCGGTGAGTCTAAGATCTCTGGATGACTTCAGGCTCAGTCCCACAGAAACACTGCGTAGACGGTCGCACACTGAGTCGTTGAGGAAACAATGACAAGGGAAGGTCTGCTTGTGGGGACAGATGCCGTGTTTGCTCTCAGTATTTCCAGTCCACGCTTCGAGGAGGACGCCCGGGGTGTGGAGGACTGCCTGCTGTGACACAGACAGCTGTTTAAAACCACCACCAGGACCGTGCAGGGGCCAAGGAACAGAGCCAGCAGTGGCCTGCTCTGAGCTCCCTGTGCCCTGGCCAAGGGTGTGGCCGTGATGGACCGCAGCGGTGGACCACAGGAAGGCCAGGATGTGCCAGAGCTTAGCGTGAATGTGAGGGTGGGCACACAAGCAGATTGGCTCCCAAGCCTGCCCTCTACTGAGCAGGAAGTCTGGTCACCGGGAGACTGATGCTAGCTGAGGTCTCTGGTGGGCAGCTGAGGTATGTCTGCTGCTCCTCAGAGAACACAGGGCCTCGGGGGTGGAGTAGGAGTCTCCAGGAGGCAAGTAGGGAGAGAGGGGGCCTGGGGGTGGCGTGGAGCCCTCAGCGACAGCCGTGTGGCCAGCATAGGGGCAGCCTGGACGCCCTCTGCCTGGACCTGCGTGCTCAGGAACACTCTGCCTCCGGTTGGCAGGTGTCTGCAGTGTCCTGAAGGCCATTCGCTCTGGCTCATTACTGTGTGCCATTGTTCTTTGTTCAGTGTTTTTGTTTACGAAGTCCCAGTGGCTCTGTGTCCACAGAGCTTTGTGCTAATGTCTTGAATTTAAAAAGAGAGTCTCTGGCCAGTCCACTGAGGACCTGTGACACTGTGGTGCATGCCTCGGAACTTCTGTGCTTGTAGCAATGGGAATATCATCCTGTGAGGAGCTTTGGGAATAGCTGGGCTTTGGGTATTTGGATTCTCCCTGGACGGGGCAGGCGTCTGGGCCTCCTCCCAGAGGCCACCCTCAGCCTGTGCATGCAATAGACACTTTCCACCTCCTTCCTCACCAGCCCTGCTGCCTAGGTCTGGTCTCCCTGCTCAGGTCTCAGTAGTGTCTGTCTGTCTGTCCCACTTTCTGCTCCACACTTGGATTTCTAGATTAGAGTACTCACACTGCTGGGTTTTGAAAGACTGACCACCAGTTTTAGAATGGCCTACAGTAAGACATGCACCTACCCTGCAATGGCTCTGTGCATCCCTACTCTTCAGGCACCTGTCACCCAAGTTCACCGCCCACTGATTGGTCTTGACCTGCTTTTGCAACTCAACCACCACCTCCCAGGATTCTGTGGACTCGCTTAGCAAACTGCCAGTATCCCTGTGGCAGAAGCATAGGAAGGATTACTCCACGGTGCACAGATTAAAGCAGGGGTGGGTTAAGTTTCTCTACTACACGGCTCCTTCCCACGTCGTTAGTTGGAGTGAAGAAAGAGATGGCTCAGAACCTTCTGGAAGATGGTGGAGTAGGACACCATTTTCAAGGGACTGGGCAGCAGGTATCAAGGCCTGGAAGATGCTGATAGCGCTCCTGTTTTCAGGAATTATCTCAAGGAAAAATATGCAGAGACCTGCACATGTTCAGGGTGTGACTTGAGCCCTGCTAATAATAGTGAAAAAAATCTGTGGCAACCTGCTGGTGCAGGCTGAGGAAATGGCTGAAGGAGTGAGGGCGTGCCTCCACGGCAGGATGCTCTGAGGACGGGGCCTGGGAAGGATGTGGTAGCTTTTCCCTTGAGTGTTCCCTGGAGAAAATCCTGGTGCCACCACGGCCACAGAGACACTTTCCGGGGTCTTATTCCGGGAGCTCCCTCCTCTGTCTTTGGTGTATCCAAATCCCACGGGGCACTGACTTGTCTGCGTGACGTGCTGGGGTGGAGGCTTTCTTCTGGCTGGATATGAAATTGCTCAGGCACCATTTGTTTACTTATTGTTTTTAAAAGGACTCCCCTAGGGCATGGCACTGTCGCTCACTGTCCTGCCAGATGACGCGGGTGTGGCTCTGATGAGACTGCACTGTGGGCCTGTTCCTCACCCTGCCCAGCACAGAGCCCCTGGCTGTGTGGCTGCAGGCCTGCCCAGCTCAGCCGGGACCAAGGAGGC